AGCTTGGGAGGCTTGAGACTGTTGGACTGTTTTGTAGTTTTGATTGTATTACATGTATATCAAGCCAAAGGCTTTCTGTGGATAGAGTTAGTACTCCCTTTTTGTAACCAAGTATTAACTTGGAAAGTTGTAAGCCCATAGGGCATTTACTTTTGATGTCAACATGTAATACATTTTGTAAAGACTACTCTGATGGAATATATTTATGCTTTATTCACTTATGTTTAAGCATTCTATTGTTGGATGATTTATGAGTTTATTTTGAGGGCGTTACAGCTTCTCTTCTTCCTCTCTCTCTAACTCTCTCTAGTAAAGTTCTTGTCACGTCCCAAAATTTGGACAATTAAATATTAAATTAGGACCAAATTGTCAATATTCCCTCATCCACAAAAATCTAAATGTTCTCATCTCTAAAAGGTTTAAGGAAATTTGTATGCTCAAAAAAATACAAGGGATAAAAAAAATTAGCAAACTCCAACCAAACCATCCATCATAAATTCATGACTATTCAATACCTCCAACATTAAAGTAGCAACAAATAGTCAAAACAACTTAACTAATGTAAAGTTAGAAAATAGCCCACAATGCCAAATTATCAAAATACTAAGGTCATAAAAAGTAAATAAATAAATAAATAAACTAATATCACCCCTAATCTGAAGAAAGCAAAAGAAATTTGAGAGACATGTCCTACAACTGTAGTTATTTCCAATCACCACCGTAGTTCCAACTAATCCTGCAAAGGAAGCTCGACTGCGCTCAAATAGAATGCACCCGAGATGCCAAGAGTCAAAACGGGTCAATATATAAGTATACTAGTATGAGTATAAGATTTAACACACATGTGTGCACCAGACACAAACAAAACTACATTTAATTCTTGTTATGGGACAAGACAAGTAGGTCCACCCGCACCGAGAGGAAGAATACTTTCCCGAGATACGGTGGCATTTACTTTCGTGCTCGTACACAACTAAATATAAATTGAGTATAAAATAAACAAAATAAACATAAAAATATGGTGGGTCAGCCATGCATAAAATGTTAGTAAGACCCACAATTCTGCAAAAAATATAAAGTTAGTATAATTTAATCATAAGTAAATTGCTGAAGAAGTATAAAAACGCACTATTTCATGCTTAAATCATTCGAATTGACCAAAACTCAAAGAGCAAAAGTTGTACATAACCAAATTTCCTAAATGCTTCAGGATCGAATTTAGTAGAAACTGAACAGGTTGAGAGAAAAACTTCATAGAAGAACCTAGACAAAATTCTACCAAAAAATTTGAAGCTGAAAACGAAAAGAAACTACCCTAAGATGATTTTTTTCGAAAACATTTATAACACAAAAAGTGTTCAGAATAATGTTTTACTTCAGTTTATGCGAAATCAATAAAAATTAGTTTGCTTCATAGGTTAAAACAGCATCTGAAATCTACATTACTGAAATGAATAAGAACTATTGTAACCAAGATCATCCAATTACAAGTTCTAATCGATCTTTTTAGTAAAAAGGTAAACCACAAAAGTAGTCTAGAATTACGTATAAATGCCTCTACTCAAATTTGTACTTTAACGAGGTCATTTACTACTTTTCAAGAAGTACAAATCAAAACAATCCAAACTATACCAGTAAGTTCATATTTAATTCTTTGTAGCTTAACTCCACTACTTCGGCCCTTTACTTCCGGCCTACACATATATCCCATGTGTCTCCAATATACCTAACACCACTCTGAAGCCAAAATTGCACGGGGATATCGTCCCAAGTTTGACCCACATTCGCCGGACAGTTAGCATATACGTACGCACGTAAATCAAAGCATTCGTCTACTCTTGAGAACAAGGCAACAATATATATATATATACACAATATCTCATCTACTTATGAGAACAAACATAATAATGTCGAGCCTAAGGCATTCAAATAAATGTCATAATCCTCACTTCTTCTTTTTTTTATACACTATTTCTCTCCAGCACTCAAATAAAACAATAATCCATGGAGTCATGGTGGAGTATTCAAAATTTATCTATGGATTCCTAATTTATTTAAATTTCATATATCCATGGGTGTGATTACATCTATAAAATAAATATATACAAAAACCATAAACCTTGCATACACAATTAAGCAAAATAATTGAAATCAATCCATCATCTACATGAAAGAACAATATCAAATCAACATCAAATAAATAATAACAACAACATAAACATAAATCAAGGAAAGTGAGTTTTGCGTTTACAATTATTATTTGAAGACCAAGAAAATACTTGGAGAATTAATGAAGCCACCAAAATAAAACCCTAACCCCTTTTTCTCTCTCTCCCACTCTCTCTCCCTCCCTCTTTTTTCTCTCTCTCCCATAGAGCACTCTTTTCTTCTTATAATTTATACCGTAATAAACATTATATTATATTATATTATATTATATTTTGTGGTATAAATACAACCTATATAAATATGCTATACAAGATCAATATATAACACTTTTTATATATTTTAAAAATATAAATATATATATATATAAATATTCAGATTAATTATATACAATTAAATATTACATTAAATTAATAAAATATCACATTAAATTCTCATATATCAACGCAATTAATAAAGCCAAAAATAAAATAAGGTAATAATAATAATAATAATAATAAATAAATATGTAAATAATGACTTACGAAAAATTAGGTCGCTACAATGTACACACCTCAAAAGAATCTCGTCCCATGATTCGATAGGAGAGAGTATTAAGCAAAAGCTCCAGGTGCATACCTCGAACTGTCTCTTCTAATTTCCAAGTGATATCATTCTCATCCTCGCTCCATTGCTCTTTCACCAAGTTCACTTTCTTACGCTGCAATTGCTTTACATCCCAGTCTAGAATAGTAACCGGTCGCACTACATACGTTAGATCGTCACTAATCTCCAACACCTCTGGTGATACTACTTGGGAAGGGTCTTGCATACACTTCTGCAATAAAGATACATGGAACATGCTGTGAATCATAGCTAAAGCAGGTGGTAGAGCTAATTTCTAAGCCACTTTACCAATCCTCTCAGTGATCGCGTATGGTCCCATAAATCTAGGTGCCAACTTTCCATTTTTTCCGAACCGCATGATACCTTTCATCGACAAGACCTTCAAAAACACAAAATGTCCAACATTCAACTCAACCCCCTTACATTTGCTATCAGCATAACTCTTCCGACAACTCTGTGCAGTCTTAATAAATTCCTGAATAATGTTCACCTTTTCTATGGTCTCTCTCACCAACTCTAGCCCTAACAACGACGCATCTCATACCTTCATGCAACAAGCAGGTGATCTACATGGTCTCCCATATAAAGCCTCAACATGTGCTATCCCAATACTTGAGTGATAACTATTATTATAAGCAAACTACACCAATGGCAAGTTTTCTTCCCAGTTACCACCAAGATCGAGGACACAAGCTCTCAACATATCCTCTAAGATCTGATTTACCCGTTTAGTTTGCCTATCCGTCTGAGGATGATAAGCCGTGCTCAAGTCTAACCTAGCACCCAAAGCATGCTGAAAACTCTGCCAAAACTCTGCCACAAACAACGGATCACTATCTGAAACTATAGAAACTAGCTCGCCATGAAGTCGTACCACCTCCCGAATATACAGCCTAGCTAGTTTATAAGTAGTTTGGTGAATACTGATAGGAATAAAATGAGCAGACTTGGTGAGTTGATCAACTATCAGCCAAATAGATTTATTGCCTCGACCGCGGTAATCCACCCACGAAGTCTATAGAGATGTACTATCATTTCTAAGTAAGGATCTTGAGAGGTTGCAAAAGTCCAAACGGTCGTTGGTGTTCTACCTTAACATGTTGACACACATAGCATCGAGAAACATACTCTCATACGTCCTTACCTTCCCACCAAAACATCCTCTTCAGGTCATGATACATCTTAGTCCCACCATGGTGAATGGTATATCGGGACCTATGGGCATCATCTATAATCTCTTTCCTCAATTCAACAATGTTAGGTACACATAACCTGTCCCTGAATCGCAATCCCCCATCTGAGTCCACAAACTATTCAGTAGAGCAATCATCGATCAAATCCACTACAAGGTCATCGAGCTTGCTGACGAGGAACCCATCTAAATACTGCATCCGACGAACTTTACCCAATAACGTCGGCTGCACGGTCAAACTACCAATGTATGCCCTCTCGACACTCTCCATTGGTTGAACCTCATGTATCGAAACAAACTCCAAGGACTTCTATTCCTGAATCATCAAAGAAACTATAATCCCATGTTGTCGACTAAATTCATCTATAACCACATTTCCTTTCCTAGGGTGGTAAAGGATTTTGAAATCATAACTACTGATGAATTCAACTAACCTCTGTTGCCTCATGTTCAACTCTTTTTGAGAAAAAAGATATTTGAGGCTCTTGTTATCTGTGTATAACTCAAAACACTCCCTAAACAAGTAATGTTGCCACACTTTGAACACAAAAACAACTGCTGCCAGCTCTAAGTCATGAGTAGGGTATCATCTCTCATGAGGTTTTAACTGTCATGAGGCATAAGATACAACCATTTGATGAAGCATTAAAGCACATCCCTAACCAGTTCCACTTGTATCAGTAAACACTACTAACTTTTCCCCTTCTACTGGTACAGTTAACACCGGTGCTGTAGTCAAATGCTGCTTTAACTCTTGGAAAGCTCTTTCACAATCATTTGTCCATAAGAACTTCACATTCTTGTGGGTCAACTTGGTCATGGGTGCTGCAATAGTGGAAAACTTTACTATAAATCTCCTGTAATAACCAGCTAGTCCTAAAAAACTCCTCACCTCTGAAGGGTTCAGGGGCTGCTTCCATTCTTTGACCGCAACAACTTTCTCAGGATCAATCGCTATCCCCTAATTGGATATAACATGTTCCAAAAATCGAACTTCTTTCTCCCAAAAGTGACACTTACTGAACTTAGCGTATAACTACTGCTCTCTCAAAGTCTGCAACATGACTTTCAACTGTTCTCTGTGCTTTTTCTCGTTCTTAGAATACACAAGGATATCTTCTATGAAGATAATCACAAACTTATCTAGATACGATTGAAAAATTCCGTTTATTAAGTCCATGAAATAGGCAAGAGCATTTATCAAACCAAAAGGCGTTATAGGAAATTCGTACAACCCATACCAGGTCCAAAAAGCAATAAGCGATATACTTTCCTATGACACACCCATCTGATGGTAACCCATTCTGAGATCAAACTGAGAGAACACGGCTGCCCCCTTTAACTGATCAAACATGTCATCAATTCTAGGTAGCGGATACATGTTCTTAATAGTCACCTTGTTCAGCTCGCTGTAATCTATGTACGTGCAAAGAGTGCCATCTTTCTTGGAGACAAAGATCGCGGGTGCTCTCCACAGGGAGTTACTTGAACGTATGAACCATTTCTGAAGCATCTTTTCCAGCTGCTTCTTTATCTCCACAAGCTCTTTAGGCGTTATTCTGTATGTCGCCTTAGAAATAGGTGTAGTTCCCAACACTAGGTCAATGCAAAATTCTACTACTCATCAACGTGGAGGTCGAGATATCTCTTGAAATACATCCTCAAACTCACGTACTACATCTACCTCACTAATATCCTGCTTAGGAATTTCTACCGAGCACAAAAAATGCGTTATCACCGACTCTCCTCCATCACCATAAGTGTGGGTAAGCCATGGCATACCAGGAATATCTATATTCACAATCCTTCCAGCACAATCTAGAATCACAAAGTGTTTTCGCAGCCAATCCATACCCAAAATAATTGCAAACCTCTCAAACCATAACATAATTAGGTCCGCATATAAGACTCTGCCCTAAAAGTCAATCTCAAAATCTTTACACATCTCATAAAGAGTAACTGCCCCTCCTAAAGGGGTCTCAACACGAATAGGTCTAGATAAAGAGGTAGTTACAAGGTGTTCTAAGAGGCACCAATATCAAAAAGTACTGTAATGGGTTCTTGAAAAAGATTAAACGTACCTTGCACTTTGTCATTTCATGGCATCACTACAAATGCCCTAGCTGGAGCTAACTGACCTTATCGTGCCTACTATTTCTCAGGAAATCCTTGACTACATGTCCCAACAGCTGACACCCAAAACACTTCCTATTGATCGGTTGAGGTGCTATTGCTTTGATAGGTGGGGATCCCTCCAACTGAGGTACGGGAGGACGATAACCTATCTATGGCACCTGTTGGAACTGTCCTTGATAACCCTGTGGGCCGGACCACCCTGTCTTTGATAATAGTGCCTCTGGGGGTTGGAAATTGCCCTGAGGTCTGAAATGTCCTTGACTACCCTATTGGTGTGGCCTCTAACACTACTGACCCCTATGTCTTTGATCATAGGGTCGGAATCTGTTCCCATCACGATGCTGGAAATGACTCCCTCTAGAATTCTCTCCAACCCTGGTCTTCCCTTCCTTATATCGTTTCTCATTTTCCTCACACTTCAGTGCCAAGTCAAGAACTCTGTCAAATGGTTCCGCATCAAATGGAATAAGAGACTTAGACAGGTAATGATTTAATCCCTTAATAAACTTCTCATTCTTCTTATCCTGCATGTCAACCAAGTAAAGGGCATAACGAGACAACTTATTAAACATGGTAACATACTCAATCACTGTTCTACCTTATTGAGTCAGCTTTGAAAATTCATCACCTAGTAGAGACCGAATAGTAGGAGGAACAAACTTCCGGTCAAAACGAGTCTTAAAATCTGCCTAAGTCAAAGTCGTCAAATCTAGACTCTCTTTCCACGAGTTCCACCAAAATAAGGCTGCTCCCTCAAGTTGATGTATGGCCCTTATTTTTGGACCTCAATGAGCTGTATACGACGAAACACCATCTCACATTTCCAGACCCAAGCATTAGCTGCAATGGCTCCTTCATCTCCAGAGAATTTCTGACCTCCCAATGAACTAAAGTCTTTGTTTCTCTTCGCAAAGGGATCTCCCTGCTAGCCTTCATTATTATTCTGCAAAACCTAAAGTAACTGAGACATCTTCTCCCCTACATTAACCTGCACAGTATTGGTTGCCCCGGTAGCACCCGCCATTGTCATTGCCGCTTTAGCAGTTGTTTCTTCCCCTGTGCCACTAGGCTCAGCATTTCTCAAATTATACCTTCTAGCCATCGCTTTCAAGTTAAACACACAAAAAGAATTCGTTCATAAATACTTAGAATAAATTCAACCACCAAACTAAACTAGCTAACCCATGTTTCCACAATATGAGGATCACCTAAACTCTCACAAGTCTAGGGTTACTTAGAGCTCTAATACCAAACTGTCACGCCCCAAAATTTGGACAACTAAATATTAAATTAGGACTAAATCCCAATCAATATTCCATCATCAAAATCCTAAGGGTGAAACAAAAATCTAAATGTTCTCGTCTCCAAAAGGTTTAAGTAAATTTCAATGCTCAAAAAAAATTACAAGGGATAAAAAAAATTAACAAACGCCAACCAAACCATCCATCATAAATTCATGACTATCCAATACTTCCAACATTAAAGTAGCAACAAATAGTCAAAACAACTTAACTAATGTAAAGATAGAAAATAACCCACAATGCCAAATTATCAAAATACTAAGGTAAAAAAAAAATAATAAATAAACTAATATCGCCCCTAATCTCAAGAAAGAAAAAGAAGTTCGAGAGACATGTCCTACAATTGTAGTTATTTCCTATCACCACCGTAGTCTCAACTAATCCTGTAAAGGAAGCTCGGCTGCGCTCAAACAGAACGAACCAGAGATGCCAAGAGACAAAACGGGTCAATATACAAGTATACTGGTATGAGTATAAGATTTCACACCCACGTGTCCACCAAACACAAACAAAAGTACATTTAATTCTTGTTATGGGATAAGACAAGTAGTTCCACCTGCACTGAGACGAAGTGGTTGTTTCTCGAGATATGATGGCATTTAGTTTCTTGCCTGTACACGACTAAATATAAATTGAGTATAAAATAAACAAAATAAACATAAAAATATGGTGGGTTAACCCCGCATAAAAAGTTAGCAAGACCCACATTCTGCAAAAAAAATAAAGTTAGTATAATTTAATCATAAGTAAATTGCAGAAGAAGTATAAAAACGTACTGTTTCATGCGTAAATTATTCAAATTGACCAAAGCTCAAAGAACAAAAAGTTGTACAGAATCAAATTTCCTAAAAAGCATCACGAACGAATTTAGTAGAAACTGAACAGGTTGAGAGAAACTTGATAGAAGAACCTAAACGAAATTCGGCCGAAAAATCTGAAGCAAAAAACGAAAAGAAACTACCCTAAGAATGATTTGTTTCAGCAAAGTGCAAAACAGGAAAAGTGTTCAGAATAATGTTTTACTTCACTTTGAGCGAAATCAATAAAAATGAGTTTGTTTCGTGGGTTAACACAGCATCTAAAATTTGCATTGCTAAAATGAATAAAAACTATTCTAGCTAAGATCATCCGATTACAAGTTCTAATCGATCTTTTTAGTAAAATGTTAAAACACAAAAGTTGTCTAGAATTACATATACATGCCTCTACTCAAATTTCGTAATTTAACAAGGTCGTTTACTATTTTTCAAGATGTACAAATCAAAACAATTCAAACTATACCAATAAATTCATATTTAATTCTTTGTACCTTAACTTCACCATTTCGGCCCTTCAGTTCCGGCCTACACATATATCCTATGTGCCTCTTGTATACTTAGCACCGCTTTGAAGCCAAACTTGCACAGAGATATCATCCCGAGTTTGACCCACACTTCCTAGACGGTTAGCATATACGTACACTCGTAAAGCAAAACACTTGTCTATTCGTAAGAACGAGGCAACAATATATATATATACACAACACCTCATCTACTCATGAGAACAAACATAACGATGCCGAGCCTAAGGCATTCAAATAAATCTGATAATCCTCATTTTTTTTTTATACTCTTTCTCACTAGCACTCAAATTAAACAACAATCTATGGAGTCATGGTGGAGTATTCAGAATTTATCTATGTGTTCCCAATTTATTTTAATTTCATATATCCATGAGTGTGATTACATCCATAAAAAAAATATATACAAAAATCATAAACCTCACATACACAATTAACCAAAATAATTGAAATCAATCCATCATCTACATAGAAGTACAATATCAAACCAACATCAAATAAATAAGAATATATAAATAATAACAACAACGCAAACGTAAATTATGGGAAGTGGGTTTTGCACTCATAATTATTTTTTGAAGATCAAGGAAATACTTGGAGAATTAATAAAGCCACCAAAATAAAACCCTAACCCCTTTTTTTTTTCTCCTCTCCTCTTCTCTCTCTCTCTCTCTCTCTCTCTCTCTCCTCCCCGGCCCGCAGAGCACTCTTATCTTCTTATAATTTATGCCCTAATAACTATTATATTATATTTTGTGTTATAAATACAACCTATATAAATATGCTATACAAGATCAATATATATAACACTTTTTTATGTATATATAAAAGATATAAATATATATATATATATATATATATATAAATATTTGGATTAATTATATATAATTAACTATCACATTAAATTAATTAAATACCACATTAAATTCTCAAATATCCACGCAATTAATAAAGCCAAAATAAAATAAGGTAATAATAATAAATAAAATAAATAAATAATGACTTATGAAAAATTAGGGTCGCTACAACTCTTAACAAGATGAACTCAAGATAGATAAATACATATATAACGTAGGCTCATTAATCTTAATTAAATTATTACGAATCGTAATTTTACAAAATTTAACAGTAAGCTCTAAAAATCATGCTAAACATAGATATGAAGTTGGTTTTGGTTTCTGGCACCTCTAAGGCTTTCAATTTCAGTTCAAAGTTGTAATTGCAATAGATATTCCTACATTCAACAAATATAATTCCAAAATAACATAATTCACACACTTAAACATGCAATTCAAATCAAACATATAATCACATACATATTTAAGCATAGTACGGGTTGGGTTATCATAGTCTTCCCCCCTTTAGGAAGTTTGGTCCTCCAAACTTGTCTACCTCAAGCCAAAAACAATTCTGGATATCATTGCCTCATTTCTTCTTCTCATTCCCAAGTGGCTTCCTTTCCGTAATGTTCCTTCCATTCAACTTTTACCATTGGGATAGTCTTGTTCCTTATTTTCTTGACTTGCCGATCAAGGATCCGAATAGGTTTCTCTTCATAAACCATATCGTCATCTAGAACAATCTGATGATACTCAATAACATGAGAAGGATCCCAAAGGTAGCCTCGCAATATTGACACGTGGAACACATTATGCACTTGCTCCATGCTCGGTGGTAAAGTAATTCAATAGGCAACCGGACCTAATCTCTCTAACATTTGGAATGGCCCTATGTACCGGGATAACAATTTTCCTTTTCTCCCAAATCTTGTTTGCCCTTTCATTGGAGTAACTTTGATAAATACATGATCCCCAACCTCAAATTCTAAGTCTCCCCTTCTTTGATCTGCATAGCACTTTTGTCGGCTTTGAACAATTTTTAATCTTTGTTGGATGATCTTGATCTTCTCACCCAATCAATGCTCTAACTTCTTCCAAAACGCTTCCTTTAATTTTTGGAACATTTGGAGCACACAGTCTTCCCTTAAACTTCAACACTTGAGCTTCCAAAGAGAATCTCGGTCTTGTCTTCGTTTTCATCTCATCACATACTTTCTTGAGAAATTCATCCTCCAATTGCCTTTGTTTCATTTCTTCAATGATAGCTGGTTGGGCTAATATTGCAGCAAACTGTAGACACCCCATTTTTGACCGTCCTCAAGACTTGGACGTCACCATTAGAGCACTTGGTGATCACCCTTGTTTGTGTTCGTCTTGAGTTCCCGGAGGTCTCGGTTGCGCGCCTTGCCTCAGGATCCCTCGACTCGATCGTGTTGTGTCTGGTTTTGCACTAAACACTTATGTTTTGCCTTGGAGGCACAGGGAATGCCTTGTGAGGCATCCCCACACATCACCGGCCATGGCTTGAGGCCACCGGCCGGTGATTTTATGCCATCGGCAATATATATTGCTAGTCGGCACTCTTTGTTGTCGGTCGGCCATTTGTTTTGCCAAAATGGCAATTTTGAATGGCCGATCACTGTTCATCTACTTTTGGTAGATATTTTGTGCCAGCTGTGATAGCTGGCACCCACTCTGCTCCCCTCCATACGCATGCATGGAGGGATTTCTCTCTTGACAAGCTTATTTGACAAGCTTTACAATAGAGAGCTCTATAAGAGAGAGTCTTCTCTCTTGGATTTAGGGTTAGACAAAATTTTTAGAGAGCTTTGATATTAGGGTTAGGAATTTGTATCTATTCCATCTCTATATTTCCCTCTCTTGTTAGTTTAGTGTGTGTTTGGTCTTACTTTTGCACTCAAACACCCACCATTACACCTTTTCTTGGTTATTGAGGGCCAAAGGAGTGTTCTTGGAGTTCTTGGAGCCGGTTTGGAGCTGAAGAAGCTGCTGGAGCTTCATTTGTGAAGAAAGTCTTCAAGGGTAACAACTTTGCCCCTTTTTACTCCTTTCTTGCATAGCCTTTTAGATTATCTTGCAATTGTTTTTGAGCTTTGTGTACAACATAAAAAAGTTCTGTTTTTAGGCCCTCCAAATAGTTTGTTTAGAGTGTTTTGTGATTTGGGGTTGTTTGACTCCTCTTAAGCCTTGTAAGGCTCCATTTTGTGCCATTTTGGGTGAGCTCCAAGACCTCGGTGTTTGGGCCTCCTCACCACTGAAATCTTGAGGGATTTCAGAGGTGAGGATGGTTCCTTGAGGTCCCAAGAAGGAGAGGGCCACCCCCTCTCCTTGTTGTCCTTGAAAATGACCATTTTTGGCCTCTTGAGGGAGCACCGTGTTTAGGTTCATGTTGACCATGCCTTAGCTGATTTTTGTGCTTATTATGTCATAATATGCCTCTATTTTTAGTTGGTTTAGACACACCATGCTTGCTTTGCATACTTGTCTTGTAATGCCATGAATTGCCTTAACATGTGCCTAGCATTTAGACTACCATGCTCACTTGTTTTGGCTTAGAGTTGTGAAGCTTTTGTGCATGTTTTAGTGGGCTTGAGATCTGTTT